GCTTACATGCTTGCTCGGGGCAAGGCTTTAGACGGCTTGCTCGAGGGCAAGGCTTACATTGGCTTGTCAAGGACAAGGGTTCAAGTGGCTTGCTCGATGACAAGGCAAACTATCGGGCTGTTATACCCGGGGTTTGGATTTAGTAATTGTTTGGACTGGACTTGGATTTATATTGCATACAAGCTGCCTACGTACCCAAACGGGATCAAGCCGAACGTAGTTCATTACAAAAGAAAACGGAAAACATGCATGGGCACGCAGGCCCGCTAAACTAGAAATAAAATGCAAGGAGCAGGCCAGAAAAACCAAAAATAACATGCAGAAAAAGAAAACCTCCTAAACGGCATCGGGAATGTTACTTGTAATATATTTTTAGATTGTCAGCATTCCAGGGCCTCGGAAGAGGTCTACCCGAAGTGTCTCTTAGGCTGTATGCTCATTTGCGAACCTATCGTATGACCTCAAAGGGCCCTTCCCAGATGGGCCCGAGCTTCCCTTGGGGTTGGCCTGCTGCTTCGGCACTCCTCAAGACCAAGTCGCCAGCTCTGAACCTCCGAGCCTTGACTTTGCTATTAAAATATTTTGCTGTCTTACTTTGGTAAGAGGCCACTTTTATAGCGGCTTGTTCCCATACTTCTTCCAAGAGATCAAGATGTTCAGTTGTATGCTCCGAGGTTTCTGGCACGAGCCTCCTATGGCTTGGTAGTCTAATTTCCAGTGGGACCATTGCTTCAATGCCATAGGCTAACATAAAAGGGGTTTCTCCTTTGGTTGTCCTATGAGTTGTTCTATACGTCCAAAGTATGGAAGGCAGCTCGTCGGACCAAGAACCCCTAGCGTTGCAATATGATTCGATTTGTTACCTCGGCCAGACCGTTGCTCTGAGGATGCGAAACTGATGTTAGACGGTGATCAATCCCAAGGTTTGAGCAAAAGTTTCTAAACTGTTGGTTGTCAAATTGCCTGCCATTGTTGGTGATGAGGACCTTTGGTATCCCAAACCTGCAAATGATAGACCTCCAAGTGAAGGCTCTTAGCTTGGGTTTCGATATTGTGGTGAGAGCCTCGGCCTCTACCCATTTTGTGAAGTACTCTACTGTTACAGCAACAAACTTTAATTGACCTCTTGCCATAGGAAAGGGGCCGAGGATGTCAATTCCCCATTGTTCAAACGGGGCCGAACAGTTAATGTTGGTGAGGTCTTCGGCTGGTGAGTGGATAACATTATCGAACCTCTGGCACCTATCACATCTTTTAACATATTCTGAGGCGTCTTTTTTCATAGTTGGCCAGTAGTATCCATATCGTACGAGTTTAAAGGCCAAGGCCCTGGCTCCTTGATGATTCCCGCACACACCTTCATGAACTTCAGCAAGGGCCTGGGATGATTCTGATGGCCTGAGGCACCTTAGGTATGGAAGAGTAATACTTCTGCGGAAGAGGACACCGCTGATCATACAGTACCTAGGAGCTCGAGCTCTGATGCTTCTAGCCAACCTCACATCGCTTGGTAGATTTTCGCTTGTGATGAATTCTATGATTGGGTCCATCCAGGATGGTTCGTTGTCAATGTCCATGATGTCGAGGGTTTGACTGATGCTGGGTTCTGTGATGATTTTAATATGAACTGTTCTGTCAAGGCCGTCTACCCCCATGAACACAAGCCTGGATAATGCGTCGGCTTTTCCGTTGTCCTTTCGAGCAATTTTTGTAATTTCACAGCTCTTGAATTTTCGTTGAAGATCCTGAACCTTCATACAGTACAAACTCATTTTCTCCTCCTTCCTTTCAAATGATCCTTCAATCTGTCTGACCACTAGCTGTGAATCGCTGAATACCTTTACGAACTCGAGCTCTAGGCAAAGGGCTAGCTCAAGAGCAATAACGACGGCCTCATACTCGGCCTCGTTGTTGGTTGCTTCAAACTCGAATCTGAGAGCGCATTGGATCTCTGTTTGTTTGTCAGGGCTGATGATGATGACCCCTGCGCCCGAGCCCGAGGAGTTCGATGCTCCATCCACAAATATTTGCCAAGTGTCCAAATTAGTGCTCATGCTCGAGCTATTACCTAGCCCCCGAGGCCTGGGGGTTAGTTCTGCAATGAAGTCGACGAGAGCTTGGGCTTTGATAGATGAGCGTGGTTTGAATTCTATGTCAAATTCTCCAAGCTCGATTGCTCATTTCATCAGTCTTCCTGATACGTCCGGCTTCTGAAGTATATGCCTAAGTGGTTGATTAGTGAGCACCACAATAGGGTGAGACTGAAAATACTGCCGGAGTTTCCGTGCTGCTATAACCAAGGCAAGGGCAAGTTGTTTCGCCAAAGTATACCTGGTTTCCGCATTCAGTAGGACTTTGCTTACATAGTAGATAGGTTGCTGGACTTTGTTAACCTCTTTCACCAAGACCCCGCTGACAGCATTTTGAGATACGGCCAAGTACAGAAATAAGGTGTCACCAGGCTCAGGCCTAGTGAGAATTGGGGGAGATGCCAACGTCTGCTTGAGCTCCTGGAAAGCTTTCTCACAGTCTTCACTCCAATCAAAGCCTTGGTTTCCTCTGAGGACTTTGAAGAAGGGATAGCACCTGTCCGATGCTCGGGACATGAACCTGTTCAAGGCTGCTACCCTACCAGTCAACTTCTGTACCTCTTTCTTGTTCCTTGGTGATTCCATAGACGCTAGTGCTTGTATTTTATCAGGGTTGGCCTGTATCCCCCGGTGAGTGATCATGAAGCCCAAGAAATTGCCCGAGGCCACGCCAAATGCACATTTTGCGGGGTTCAACTTCATTCCGTACTTTCGCAAGGTGTTGAACACTTCTTCAAGATCTGAAATATGTTGGTCCACCTGTTTGCTTTTGACCACCATGTCATCAACGTACGCCTCCACATTCCTTCCAATCAAGTTAGCAAAGACTTTGTTGATGAGTCTTTGGTATGTTGCCCCTGCATTCTTCAAACCGAAAGGCATGACCTTATAACAGTATATGGCGGAATCGACCATGAATGAGGTCTTTTCTTGATCTTCCTCGGCCATGAGGATTTGATGATAAGCAGAAAATGCATCCAAGAAGCTGTATAGCTTATGTCCAGACGTGCTATCCACCAAGTTGTCAATCCGCGGTAGGGGATAACTATCCTTTGGACATGCTTTATTAAGATCTGTGAAGTCAATGCAGACTCTCCACTTACCATTGGCCTTCTTTACTAAAACAACATTAGCAAGCCAATCGGGATATTGGACCTCCCGAATGAACCGAGCACTGATGAGTTTGTTAATTTCTTCGCGGATGATCTCCCGACGCTCTGGGGCGAACTGTCTTTTCCTCTTTTTACTGGCATGGCCCCTGGGCTAATGTTAAGCTTATGGACTGTAATTTTAGGGTCTATTCCTGACATATCCTCAACCTTCCAGGCAAAAACGTCAATGTTGCGAGATAAGCAACCAACAAGTTCTGTCTTTAGGGTGATGTTAAGATCCCGACCAATAGTCACCTTCTTATCATGCTCGAGCTCAATTTCCATCAATTCTTCGACAGGGGCAAGTCTGACTTGTTGCCCGTCCTCGGGATCAATCCTCGGGATTTGCATGACGTCGTTATTTATTTCCCGAACGCTGGCAACATAGCATTGTCAGGCAGCTGTCTGGTCTCCACGGACAACCCCAACGCCATTACTTGTTGGAAACTTCATGGCTAGGTGGAAGGTGGACACAATGGCTTTAATCTTGTTTAGGAGTGGTCTTCCCAGAATTGCGTTATAGGCCATTGAGACACGTACCACTTGAAAAGATGTCATCTCCGTAACCTGTTTCTGGCCAGAACCCAAAGTTAGTAGAAGCTCGACGACACCCTCTGGAGTGATGACTCCTCCCCCAAACCCCTAGAGAGGAGTTTTAACTGCTTTGAGCTGTTGAGATGAGATACCCATTTTGGCAAAAGCTTCTTGTGAAAGTATATTGGCCGCACTCCCGTTGTCAACCAAGATCCTCTTTACTTTAAAATTGGCCACAATCGCTGAGATTACCAAGGCGTCATCATGTGGAAGTGATACGCCTTCTAAGTCTCCGGTCCCAAAAGTAATATCCTCCAGCTTTTCCTGAGGCATCCCAGAGGCCAAGGCATATCGTCGGGCATATTGTTTTCTTCCACTGTTGGAGTCTCCTCCTGAGGCAATACCTCCAATGATGATATTGATGGTTCCAGCAGTGGGTTGACCATCCCTTTTTGCCTCAAGGTCTTTTTCCCTGCCACGATCATTCCTCGGGCGTTTTTTGTTACCGACGTAGGAGCTCAGAAGTCTTCTTTTAATAAGAGCTTCAATCTCCCGTTGCAGGGCCTTACAGTTCTCCGTGGTATGCCCATGATCCCGATGGAACTCACAGTACTTGTTCATGTCCCTGGATTCGGGTGGTGACCTCATTCTGACAGGCCATTTCAGTTCCTTCATATCCTTGATCTCCATCAATAAATTGGTCTTTGACGTATTTAAACGTGTGAACGGCGCTGGGGGAACCTCCTGCCTCTGTTTTTTCCGATATTGTTCTTCACGGGGGTTCGGGTCATGCTGTCTCTTATGCTCGACCCTGTCATGGGATGGTCCAACCTTTCTCGGGTTCAGCGTTTCATCCATATTTATGTACTTCTCAGCTCGGGTAAGAAGCTCGGTGACTGTCTTCGGCGGAGTTTTGGATAAAGACATCTTGAAAGCCTCGCACTTTATGGCATATGTGAGGGCAGAAACTGCTGCAGTTATGCGTAGGTCGGGAATCTGAAGTCTTTCCTTGTTGAACCTGGTCATGAAGTCACGTAGGGTCTCATTTTGCCCTTCTCTAAGTTGCATGAGGGAAGCTGCTGTCTTCCTGATGCGTTTGCTGCTTGCGAAGAAAGCGGAGAACTTGTCCGCCAAATCCGAGAATGAGGCTATGGAGTTGGACTCTAAGGTTGAGAACCAATCCCTAGCAGCATTCGTCAAAGTTTGCGGGAAGGCCTTGCACATCACCTGATCTGGTGCAACCTGTAGATTCATGACGTCCGTGTATATGTTCAGATGATTGATTGGATCGGTGGTCCCATCATATTCTTTGATCCTAGGATACTTAAATCTGTCTGGCAAGGGGAATGTTAATATCTCGGAAGTAAATGGAGTGTTGGGACTGAATCTTGTCGTCCCTTTGTTGCCCTGAAGTAGGCCCGCCGTAATTCCTTCCTAAATAATCCTAGCGAGTTCCCCGGAATCCATGGTCACTGATCTTGAGGCCGAGGTCACATGTGGTATACCCGAGGCCCCTGCTCCGCCATTGTCAGGGGCATGTGTTTGAGCTCGAGCTCGAGCATCAGCCATAAAACCCCCCTGGGGTGCTGGTGTAGGTGACGGATGCGAATTTCTTTGACTTAGCAGCTGAGTCAGTTTGGCGACCTGTTGTCTGAGCTCTTCAAAGGCTCCAGCAGTGACGAATGCCGGCTGGGGCTCTGGCACTTCTGATGATTCCTCTTGAGGAATAGGGATATCCTCAGGAGGGGGTTGGTTTGGAGCAGATGAGCTTGCTAGTGGAAGACCTGAACGTGTGTTTACCATGGCTTTTGGTAGCGTTTCCCACAGATGGCGCCAATGATGCTACCAAAAATCGTACCTGCAGATTTTTCGAACTTGATGATTGATAAGGAGCACGAACGTGATCTTCCGATACCTGAAACAAAGGCAACGAGGTGTGTTCTCGTCGCCCCTCCGATGCTTAAGTCAGAAAGGGGAAATATATGCGTGAGGCTATGTGCTGAAGAACAATGAGAAAAACCTACCTGAATAATGGCCCAGGGTTCTGTATTTATAAAGGTAGGCGGTGTGTTCATATTAGGATTCCGTATTGCACCTATAGTAGGATAGCTTGATTTTGCAATCTTACACCAATGAGTCCTACACGAGATAGGAGTTTGAATTGAGGTATAACTGTGATACCAATAGAGTTTTTTTGGGCATAGGAGACATGAATTGAGGATTCTTAGTTAGAACAAATCTCTCGTTGGACAAGGCGCTGTCGTAGGTCATAATCGCGATGACATGTCCAATGATTGTTGAATAACTCTTCGGGTTAATAGCCCGGGCATATAGGGATACCCGAACACATATGTCCCGAGCATTTTGATACACATACCGACGAAATCGAGTCCTCGGGTCTATATACGTCGGGAACAAAACTTGGTTATATCACCAATCATCATTTTTTAAATTCTTTTTTCACACGTAAGACCCACTTTATCTCTAACAGTCAAAAAAATCAATTATTAAAATCCTATCAAACAAGCTCTAGATTTAAAATGATTACTATATGTTAAATAAAATTAAGGGAGAAATTTTTTGCCGTTGCTCCAAACTATATCACCCATGTAAGGAATTTAACCTGTTTAATCTGACGTGCATGTTTGGGGACTCATTACGGCATTAAGCGCACTACCACTTCTCGCAAATGAAATAGGGTATTTAGTAATAGAAAAAGAAAATTGCATACAAGAGAGGATGACGAAGTCAAAACCTCCACAAATGAAGAACAAGTATAACACACTCTAATTGAGTCCAATTAGGATTCAAAACGAGCCTAATACAAATCAATTAGAAGTAAACACGACAATAAAAAGATGGGTTTAAGTCTCAAAGACAAATGGACTACCAAGCAAAAAGGCTAACACTCTCTAAATTACTTCTATTCATCATTGGATGTTTGGGCTTGCTTTCGATAACAAGTTTAAACTCACGGTCACTTTTTTATTGGGAGTGTTAGTGTCCACCACAAAATGTTCTTTCATGGATTTGATCAGATGGAATAGGGTAAAATATTATCAAATTTAGATCCAAATGTCGTAGAATTTGGGGGTTGAAGTGTGGATGCTTTAAAAGGTGAGGCTTGAGCTAATGAAATGTGCATCACGATGTATAAGTGCCCAATAGGATGTGATTATATCAAGAATATTATACGAACTTTTCTAAGCTCGATTGATATGACTTCTGAGAAGTCAAAAGAGCTTTTGAGACTCATAATTGCTTTTGGATATTTCATCTAATTAATTTTATAAAATTATTACTGTAAAATTAATACCATTATTAAGTGACGAGTAAGAACAATGTTGTCTTTCTTTGTTCGATGAAGTTGTGATACATTTTAATGCAATGAACAATGAAGTATGAGTCTCATTGCCTAATTGCCACACAACTAGTGACGTGTATGTAGGAAAAACTTATAGTGTTCCCAAAGTATAAGATACTTAATACTTCCTATGACTTTTTGATTGACATATATTTTAAGAGCATGTTCGAGTCCCATTTTTTGTAAAAAATATATTTTGGAATGGTAGATTAATAGAGGATATGTGATTAAAAAAATTTGAATTTGAATGTAATATTATTTTATTTAAAAATGTATGATAAAAAAAAAGGAAAAAATGAATTTTGAACATATCGGAGGTCTGACATGCTCAAAATATTTAGAAATTGCTATTTAATTCGGATTCAAAAATCATAAATAATACGCATATTTCGATATTACTGAAAGTTTTCGCATCACTCGAGTGGTAAATAGCAGATGGTGCAAATCACGGAGTGATTGGCGCTGCACCTGATTTTTGTTCAGGTAAATGGAAACCTAAAAGTCTCAATATGGGGGCCCATCAACACAGCCCAGTACGAGAGTGATATGTGGGACCCACTTCTCAAATTCCTCTTTTTACGTGGGAACACGAATCAAAATCAACACGAGTGCTCTGACAGTGTTACAGTTTTCTTTGCAGTGGTAATCACGCGCCCTCAGTGGAGGTGAAGTTGGGACGGAGAGTAAAGTGGGCCTTAATTATTTGGGTCGGCAACTGTACTGGACAGAGGCCTACCTTAACTACCCGGGCCCATCGTACTGTCTTCCAAATTTCATTCTCATAACACAAATTTTACCAAAATACTGCTTTAAAATGAAAATAAAAGTTCTAACAAAAAATTAATAATTACATGTCAATAACTCACTTGAAAGTGGATAACTATGACAAAAAATTAGGAAAAGTTTTGGTTTATCAGAACATCATTTGAAAACTACATATTATAACTTATATGAAGAAGAAATTAAGCTAAAAACTTCCTACAAAAATTCAAAGTGAATCATATTTATTTATTTTAAACTTAGAATCAATATTTCAAATTAATGATCTTCGAAAGTAAATATTTTGATTTGGGATTACTTAAAAGTAAAGCTTAAAATTGAAACATAGTCCAAGTCCAAATTTCTTATGATCAAGTTGCTTACAAACAAGCTGCCCAAACCAACATACGTTTTTTCAAATATGGAAAACTATGGTACTGATTCCGAATCTATTTACTTAGTAGCAAACGAGTTCTCAAATCTTTTCTATTTTACATTTCAATTCCCAATCCATTATTTTTGTAGGATATATTTTCTCATTAATAGATTTCCTACAAAAGCAATTTATAATAAAAATTTGAATTTTGCACCTAATACCTAATATATAATGCTTGTTTGGTAGGGATTTTGATAATTGATTTTTTGACCGTTAGAGATAAAATTGGTCCTACTTATAAGAGAAGAATTCAAAAATAACGACTGGAATAGTAAAATAACGGTCAAAAAATTGATTTTAGTTGAATTAAAATTTCAATGAAATATGCTAATAGTTCTGGTCAATTGAAAATAGTATTAATAATGTTATCGATAAAGAAGATATTAGCCGAAAGAGATCAAATCATGCAACAGAAAGAAGCAGCATTATATTTGTTATTTGACATGATTGATAGAAAATTTCAGCAACAAAACATGATTTCAGCCGAAACTTTGATGATGAAATTTGTGCAAAATGCAACTTTAGATACTTGATTGGCTTGTCAACTTTTAGACTTAAAGAGCCCAATTCAATATAATGTCTAGTCCCATGTTTGATGGGAATGAGAGAGTTAAGGATACGAAAATCTTGTTTAGTATGTCCACTCTTTTAACATATCAATTATCATTAATGTATTCCTGGGCAAGTGACAGTAATTGAAAACAATGAATCAAACAAAAAATTAATCATTTTGATATAAAATAATGCTACAGTTCAATTATCAGATCATTCAAAAAGTAATATGCATTAATTGGTCTAAAGAGTAAACATAAAATAACCAAGTTCCCATTCACATCCAAAACTGTATAGCAAAACTCCTATCATAACATTGTTATAATACCCAGCTATGGTCGAAATGCAAGTTCATCTAGCACAGAATTTGCTGCTAACGAACGATAGAAATACATCCGAGACAAGGCGCGTCAAGTCTAAGAATCAGCAATGGTAACCTCAACCTCAACACCAGGTTCAATTGTGATAGAGGTAATCTGCTTAACCACATCCGGGGAGCTGAAGAGGTCAATCACGCGCTTGTGTACACGGAGCTCAAACCTATCCCATGTGTTAGTACCTGAGAATCAATTTTTAAAAAAATAAAATAAAAATTCAAAACAAGATACCAAGAATCAATAGCACCACGACCATGGAGTTTCAATGATGATCCAGAAACAGTGAGACTCATGACATCATATTTTATAATGCTCCCTAATATTTCTGAGAATTATATCTCATGTTGATGATCTAGATTATAAAGCAACAATCCACCTCTCAATCCTAACAGCAATGAACTTTTAGTACAACCAACAGATAATTACAGAAGCAAGCCGCCCAATACAGCAAACAGAAAAAGCAAGTGTCAACCAAAAAAAAAAACATCTGCCTTACATGGATTAAATGCTCTTCCCATGCCTTGCTAAAAATGAGTATATCATCAAAAAATACCTCGTTCATTACGCTTCAGAAAGTGACGAGAGCATTATTCAAGCCAAAAGGCATGACTAAAAATTCTTAGTGGCCTTCATGTGTTCGAAAGGCTATTTTCTCTATATCACCAGAATACATACGAATTTGATGGTAGCCTAACCTCAAGTCGAGCTTAGTGAAAAATCAAATTTAATCAATGTGTCGACGACATATCGTATCAGTACTTTTTTGAAAAAAAATTGCTTATCTACATGTTCGATGTGCGTCGTGTCAGACATACGTGTCCATGTCGGTGCATTATAGATCCTCTATAAAACAAAAAGTTACGACTGATTCTAGTAGGCGATAATAAAGAAGCCTCAAAAAGCAAAATGCTCCATTTTGAAACGATTGGAATTCTTCCACCATTTTGGATTTTGCAATGAAAATGACCACTTCCATAGTAAAAATATTTAAGCACTTTTCCAAAATTGCCCCTACTTAAATATACACCTAGTGCACTAAAAAGCTTGTTTCCTATACCAGTCATTTGGACACTGTAACCAACCCAATATCCCGTCCACCACTTTGCTACCACCTGCCAATCCTCTCCTAATGAAGCACTGCTTCAAAAGCCAGTGTTGTCCCCATGAACCTCCTAGTACAAATCACTTTCTCGCCGCTGCAACCACCCACGAGGCCATCTTCTCAAACCTTCAGTATTAATCAGATGTATTGACAAACGAAACAACCATAAGTGGACTTCCACATCACAACATACTAAACCTTCAAAATGACATTTGGTTGGAGTAAAAATCAACAAGATTTGGTTTTGGGCTTGACATGAAACAATAGTTAATTCGTTGGACTTCTGACCGAATTTTATCTTTTCACTGATCATTCTTCTATTAATCTCTTTACAGAAACTTCACTGAATTTATAAATGGATTGATTGTTGATTTGGAAGTGAGCGGTCCAAACTGGTGTATTTGTTGGCTGCAAGCCCCAAGCTTAAATTGCAGAGATAGAAATTGTGCAAAATCAGTGATATTTTGGATACCTCGATGAGTCAACATTATACACATTGAAGATAAGGCATTGTGGCGAAGATAAGAAAGTCAAATACGGTGTTCACCTTTTACTCCTACAAAATATTTGTGCAGTAGGTGGCCAAAATTTTTATCCAAGGGAATACGCAGTTACGAGGCATAAGCACAATCAAATAGCAATAACCTATACCAAATAACCGATAAACCTAGCTATACACATCCATCAAAGAGAATAAATAAATAAATAAAAATAAAAAATACACCACAGTGTCAGTTCCCCTTGATTGAGATCTAGTGATGGGTCGATTAACGGGTAATGACCAAGGATTGTCTTTTCATTGATGACCTATTGTGATAGTTTTTGGTAGGATACTTTGAGGGATCCTAAACCTCCTTTGTTTGGTTAATTCAAGAAAACCAATAAAACTCCCAAATCAACACAAGCTTGAAAACTGATAATTCGGTACTTTTATTCATGGCTTCAAGCTATTAAATAGCGGAACAGCTTCTTGTAAAAAAGGCAATAACATCTACTTGGGAAATTAGAAATTATGCTTGCAATATTCAAGCTTTTATTCTAAGGAAAAGACAACAATTTAGTAATCATAATTGACTGAAATTAATGTCTAATCCCCCTTCATGTGCTTGATTGGTCCTTAACAACTCCGTCATCCTTAAAAATCTCCTTGTCCTCAAGGAAAAGAGTGCATTCAATTCTGCGAGGTTCTCCCATGTTGACTCAGCAGGTGAGAGATTTTGCCAATGAACCAAGACTTCTTTTTCTCCCCCTTTTGTGCGTGTCTCCAAAATGGCTTGAGAGAGTGGGTGGGGGGCAGATTCACTGGGCATTTCGGGTATAGTAGGAGAGATAATATCCTGATTTCCAATCCTTTTTTTAAGAAGAGAAACATGGAAAACTGGGTGAAGCTTTGATTCGGTTGGTAATTCCAATTTATAAGCAACTGATCCAATCTTGGAAAGAATTTTGAAGGGACAAAAAAACTTGGGGCTCAACTTGAGATTTTTTCGTTGTGCTAGAGATAGTTGACGGTAAGGACACAATTTTAGGCACCTATATTCACCAACTTCAAAACTTTTTTCTATTCGCTTCGCATCATAATATTTCTTCATCCTTTCTTGAGAAATTTTTAAACTTGCCTTGAAATCTCTAATCACCACATCCCTTTCCAGTAAGAATTTCTCAACTGAATCCACGCACGAGGTGCCATGAACATATACCAGCAAGTTGGGAGGTTCACGACCATATACGATCTCGAATGGTGATTTTTTGGTGGATGAGTGTACCCCGGTATTGTAGCAATATTCTGCCCATGGTAGCCAAGCTATCCATTCCTTAGGCTTGTTAACCGCCTCGGTTTGACCAATGTGAAACACCTCGAGTACATCTCCAACGTCTTGTTAACCACCTCGGTTTGACCATTCGTTTGTGGGTGGCATGCTGAACTAAAATTGAATTCGATGTCATGCAAAAGAAATAAATTTTTCCAAAAGGAGCTTGTGAAAACTAGATCACAATCACATACAATGGACCCAGGCATGCCTTGGAGTTTGAATACTTGCTCAAAAATTATGTGAGCAATGGTGGTAGCTGTGTAGGGGTGTTTAATGGGAATGAAATGACTATATTTAGAGAGGCGGTCCACTACCACAAAGATGGTGGAACTACCTCGAGAGTTTGGCAAGCCATCCACAAAATCCATGGAAATATCTACCCAGACATGTTGTATTAGGAGAGGGCGGAGTAGCCGACAAGTTTGGCTTGGTCCACTTTATTTCTTCGTCAAACTTCACATTCCTGAATAAATTTCCTTATGTGTGCTTTCATGCCTTTCCAGCAAAAGATAGATCTAATCGTGTCAAGAGATTTATGGAGCCCTTCATGAGTGCTTAAGTGGAATTCCTTGATTATAGGGAGAATCAAATAGGAAGTGGAGAATAGATAAATTTGATCTATGAAAAAAATAAACCCTTCTTTGTATAGGCACGGCCCCAATGCCTCACCTTCCTTGATTTTCTCCATTAAATCCCACAGTTGAGAGTTAGCCATAATTTTTGATTTAATGGGATCCACCCAATTAGGAATAGGGGAAGATATGGCACATATATGGATTTCAAATGTTCTGCACAAGGCATCTGCATCTGCATTTGAATTTTCTTTTCCTTTTTTGTAGTGAATTTCAAAATAAAATCCCAAGAACTTCACTAACCATTTCTGATGGGTAGACGTAGTAATGGTTTGACTCCATAAAAATTGCAAAATTTTGTGGTTAGTACGAACAATAAATTTGGATCCCAAAAGATAAGGGCGCCATTTTTGTACTCCTTAACCAAAGCAAGCATTTCTTTCTCGTATGTGGATAATGCCAAATTCTTACAATGCAATGCTTGACTAAAAAATGCAATTGGTCGCTCATCTTGCACAAGTATTGCACGTAGACCCACACCAGATGCATCACATTCCACGACAAAAGGTCGAGAGAAGTCCGGAAGTGCTAACACCGGCCCGGAAGTCATGGCGCCTTTCAATTCTTCAAATGCTTGCTCCGCAGTCGCTGTCCATTTGAACAAATCTTTTTTGAGCATATTTGTCAAAGGTTGGGCAATAACTCCATAACGGTGAATAAATTTTCGGTAATAACCGGTGAGGCCTAAAAACCCACGCAACCCTTTTAATGTAGTTGCCTTGGGCCATGTCATCATAGCAGATATTTTTCAGGATCCATAGCAACCCCGTGATGCGAAATTAAATGCCCCAAGTAATTGACCTTTTCCTGTCCAAATTGACATTTTTCCCGCTTGACAAAAAATTGATTAGCTTGCAAAACATGGAACATCTGCCTTACATGGATTAAATGCTCTTCCCATGCCTTGCTAAAAATGAGTATATCATCAAAAAATACCTCGTTCATTACGCTTCAGAAAGTGACGAGAGCATTATTCAAGCCAAAAGGCATGACTAAAAATTCTTAGTGGCCTTCATGTGTTCGAAAGGCTATTTTCTCTATATCACCAGAATACATACGAATTTGGTGGTAGCCTAACCTCAAGTCGAGCTTAGTGAAAAATCATGCCTCTTTCAACTCGTCCAATAACTCATCAATGACAGGAATTGAATATTTAACTTTAACGGTGATATAGTCCACGCAAAGTCGCCACGATCCTTCATGCTTTTTAACCAAATAGTATTGGAGGAGAATAAGGACTTGTGCAAGGCCGTATCACACCTGATGATAAGAGCCCTTTCACCATTTTTTCAATTTCATTTTTTTGGTAATGGGGAGACCTATAAGGCTTGACTAAAATTGGATTGGCCCCCTGCATTAACGGAATTTTGTGGTCTTCAGAGCGTTGAGGTGGTAAGCATTGGGCTTCTTGGAAGATTGCTGTGTATTGATTCATAATGGCCAAAAATTTGAATTTTGGATCCCATTCATGGCTTTAGTTACTGCTCCTGAATTCAAAAAGAATGTAGTTGCAACAAAAAACTCTCTTGCCTTTTCTAAGTTGTCCCCTTAATTCTTTGTCAATTACTATTTTTTTGATAGGTCCTTGAATCCCATGTAACTCTACCATTCTGCCATTCCAATTAAATCTCATCCAAAATTCATTGAGATCCAATGTAAAAGGACCCAAACTTTTAAATAATTGCGTTCCGAAAATCACATCACACCCCTCCAATGGTAAAAGGAATAGATCAATGTAGAATGTAATTCCTTGCACAAAAATAGGAACATCTTTGCATAGTCCACTACTTTTGACTTGGTAACCGTCCGTTACTTGCACAGAAAAGTCCCCATTTTTTGTGGAATATATTCCCAATTGAGCAGCCAAATTGGAATTGAGGAAGTTATGTGTACTACCTGTATCAAGCAAAATTGTAACCACCGATTCCTTAAGCTTGCCAATAACTCGCATTGTTTGTGGTCCTGAATTTCTAGAAATAGCATGGAAGCTTATTTCTAGAATTTCCCCTTCTTCATCCTCCACGATTTCATCCTCTAATTGCTCATCACAAGGAAAAATCCGCTCAATGAGAAATAACCTTTCACAACGGTGACTAGGAGAGAACTTGTAAAATCCCAAATTTTTACTTAGCATTAATTTATTTAATAGGAATGCAATGTTCAGTTAAGTCCTTATACAAGTTAATTTGTTATCTCTATAGTTAATTTGGATCTATGTGAATATCTTTATAGTTGAGGGACCAAAGTGAAAATAAGTTTCAGATTTTATACCTTTATTAAATAGGCCAAATAGTTAATTATTGAAGGAGTTAGAATTACCCTATCAATATTGGGCTCATTTTGAAGCTCGTAATAAATGACGAATTATGGACTCAAGAAAAATTCAATTTGGATTCGTTAAACTTGAGTTATAGCCAATTAAGAAAACTACTTAGTTAATAATATTAGTTATTAATTCGAGCTAAATTACTATATCAATATTGGACTCCTTTGATAGATAATAATTAATTATATATATTAGGATTAAGAAAATGATATTTTGGATAAGTTGAATTAAGATGGAATCAATGGAAGAATCAAGGTGTAAATGAAATTCTAATTTATTTACTATCCATACAATTTGCAATTCTCGGCCATTAGGAATAAAATATGTTAAGTATTAATAATTATGAAACTTAAAGATAATTGATTAAAACGTAATCAGTGTGTTGTATAATATATGCAATTAGGAGACCAATTTGCCTTACTTTTCCACGTGTTGACATGATATGCAGTCATTGGGTCTCCTCATTAAAATTGTATTGGATTTGGAACTTATCAAAACAAATAGTCAATCTCCAATCAAATTATATAGGAGTCTGGGAGTCCAAACCAATTTCTAAGAAAAGTGGATGGAAATTTTAGAATTCCAATCTTAGCGTGACTACCCTACGGTCCCTGCCCCGTATTTTAGTCTACTATATATATGACATTATACCTAAAGCATTCTACCATACTTTATTCTCTTCCTCTCTAAATTTTCCTCTATATTACTAACGCTTTATACCCAAAGCAGTCTACTATATTTTATTCAATTTTACAACCAACCAAGAGAAAAATCTTAGCAAACAAGTTCCCACAATTTGCTTTCCAAGTGCATATTATGATACAAGATTCATTACGTAAGGTGAGATGCTCAGTGCTATTAGTGGTTTGTCCACATCTTTTCAAATACGTTGTTATGTATGGATTTAATTACTTCAGTTCAGAGCTCCTTTGGGAGAAATCATGAAACAGTTTAAGGCACAATTTAGCCTTCACGTTATTTGCAGCGCTTGCTTGAATTATCATTTGTCATGGTGTGATAATTCTCATGTTATGTTGGTAAGAGAATTTATGCATAATTTCACGTTTGCTTTGAATGTGGAGTAGCAAACATCTCATTGAGTATAATTCGTTATACTCATCTCTCTCTATTAACAATTTTCAGGTAGAAATTAGTATGCTGGACGGCGGTGGATAGATGCATATTGGACCAATGGATCTCCATCATGAAGTACTTTAATTTTTAGAAACACTAGAACATTTAATAACAGTTGATTATTATTATTTTTAAATTTAGACTCAATTGTGAGTCACGTCATAACTTTCAATTAGTCCTATTTTTATTATTTGTTAGAACTACTTTTATTAATGTTTGATAAAAGATATGATTCCAAATTGTTCCGCATATGTTACTTAATTTAATTTACCTTTTGTTAAGGTTGTTCAATTTTTACTGAATTCCTCGTTATATTAAAATGTATTTGCCTCAAGCACTTTATTAATCAATTCACGTTTGGTAACGTTCCGGGTTGCTAGAGAATTCGGGGCGTTACAGAACTTATCGTCGCAATTAAAGCAAAGTCCACGACTTCGCCTATCTTGTAATTTTGCTGGAGTCAATCGCTTAATGGCTGGGGTGCGTGCTCAAGTGAGAGATACCGAAGGCATTTGTGGTGGCTCGGTGGTAGTTGGAGCCTTTCGTGGTTCCACATAGCTTCCTCTTCGCTACTCATGCAAGCGTGACTCGTAGACTCTATGAGTCGTGCAAGGCCAATTGCCGCTGACAAGGATACAAGTTTACAAGCTTGAGCATCCACTCGAATTGCTTCCCGCAGCCCGCTTACAAAATACCCAACTTCTTGTTCTTCGGTGAGATAGCCCGCCCCATGCAATAGACGATCAAACTCCACCTGGTAATCCCGAATACTACTTATTTGTTTTAGCTTGGTGACATCACCAAAGAAATTTTGGTATCTTGAAGGGACGTAACGCAAGTGCAACTCATATTTGAAAACCTCCCAATTTACTCCCTCTCCGCGCATTTTGAATCGTTGGTACCATAATTGAACATCTCCTTCCAAATGGTAGCCAGCCATAGGTAACTTCTTTACCTCTTTCGTATCTTGAAAGCCGAAAAATTGCTCTACTCGACAAATCCAACTTGTGGGATCATCCATGCCATCATAGCGTGGGAAATCTAGTTTGGTAATCTTGGGCCCAATTAAACTTCCTCCCGATTAACTACAACGGTTGTCACGAGAGGAACTAGCATCATCTTCATGTCCTACACCGCGCTTTGCAAGGCGATTGAACATGGTCTCCATGTGTTGTAAAAGACGCTCCTCACTAGCTTTCACGGCTTGTTGTAAGTTGTGTTGACCCATAGATAACGAGCCAACCTCCTTCTCCAATTGATCCAAGCGATGGTCAGACGTTTATGGCTCTGATACCAAGTTGTCAGTTCCCCTCAATTGAGATCTAGTGATAAGTTGATTAACGGGTAATGCACAAGGATTGTCTTTTCGTTGATGACCTATTGTGATAGTTTTTGGTAGGATACTTCGAGGGATCCTAAACCTCCTTTGTTTGGTTAATTCAAGAAAACCAATAAAACTCCCAAATCAACACAAGGTTGAAGACAATGATAATTCGATACTTTTATTCATGGCTTCAAGCTATTAAATAGCTGAACAACTTCTTGTAAAAAAAGCAATAACGTCTACTTAGGAAATTAGAAATTATGCTTGCAATATTCAAGCTTTTATTCTAAGGAAAAGACAACAATTTAGTAATCATAATTGACTAAAATTAATGTGTAATCCCCCTTCACATGCTTGATTGGTCCTTAACACACAGCTTCAAAAATTTACACTCCAACATCATTTTGCCGAGCAGCATACCATATTAGGATAGTTACATGTTAAGAGAAGTATATTATTATACTCGTGGAGGAAGTAATACCTTCACCACAAGGTGACTTCCTGGTAGTAATATGAAGAACCTTGGTAGGCATTCTCACTGGTCCCTTGACCCTGAGCCTCTTGTCTTTAGCGCCACGAACCAAATCAGCACAGACTGTTAATGAAAATAAGTCAAGGAAGCATCAAATTAGACAATTATGAAGATCATTATCATCAGGAACTATATAATAACCACAACTATACATGTCGCTAAGGATGGAAATCCTTTTCCCCATATATTGGATCCTATCCAATAACTACAACAATTGCTAGTCATCAAATGGGAATACAAAACCCAGTGAAGGACAACCTAGTAACTATCTAAAACAGAATTAGTTTCATGAGTGATATTATACACCCTTTATTGACAAATTAGCAATGCATATCCAAAACTAAAAAGTGCTCAAAATTTTAAGCATTTTTAAATGCTTAAAACATAGATTACTCAAAACAACAAATGCTAGCAATAAATTTATATAACATGGCAACAATGGAAATCAAAGACTAAATCTTAGCCACAAAAAAGAAAACTAACTAATTACCTGCATATAAAAGTTAAAAACAAAGCGCATTCAACAAGAGTAATCTATCAAGTAACAGAAAAAATTGCAGATCATGATCAAATTGCACAACCATATTAAGACCCTGCTACAGTGCTACTATACCTTTCTCGAGGTTCTTTACATTCTTGGAGGAAAGAGTGATACGGATCTTGTGAATTTGCTCCTGGGGCTCCTCCAACCCAGGCTTAGTTGGCTTCATCGCTGCGTACGCCATTCTTTTCCTTCGATTTCTTCTTCGAACACACAAAACATAATTTTAGGTTTGTGGGAAAAA